CCGCCTGTACTGCACACCACATTCACACCTATATCTCATACACGCCGCAAAATAATTAACGATCCTGGTTTTAGTCACAAACCAGTCATTGCTACTATTACCATCGGCATCAAAAGCATGACATGGAAAGTGCCAACTAAGCTATCATGGAACTTCAAGAAGGCTGACTGGTCTAGGTTCACAAACCTTTTAGAGAATGTACTTTACCCAAGTCCACTCAACTTCAACCATCATCCTGACAAATTTTGCAATGATATCACGAATATTATAATCAGATGTGCAAAGAAAACTATTCCCAGANCATCCACATCCCCATCCCCATCCCCATCCCCATTCCCATTAACATCATCGACATCACCGTCACCGTCATCATCATCACCCCATCCTACCCCACATCCACACAGGCCCTCTATCTCTCTTCCTCTCTATCCACTGCCACCTCACCGCCTGTACTGCACACCACATTCACACCTATATCTCATACACGCCGCAAAATAATTAACGATCCTGGTTTTAGTCACAAACCAGTCATTGCTACTATTACCATCGGCATCAAAAGCATGACATGGAAAGTGCCAACTAAGCTATCATGGAACTTCAAGAAGGCTGACTGGTCTAGGTTCACAAACCTTTTAGAGAATGTACTTTACCCAAGTCCACTCAACTTCAACCATCATCCTGACAAATTTTGCAATGATATCACGAATATTATAATCAGATGTGCAAAGAAAACTATTCCCAGATGCAAGACAAAATACTATCGAGTGTTTTTGTCTAGGCGCCTTGAGAAACTGAAAAGAAAGCGGGACGCCCTTCGCAACACTGCTGATCAGACTGGAAGAACGGAAGACGTACAAGCCTGGAGACAACAATCAGCTGTCCTAAGGCAAGCCATCTTACAAGCTAAACGGACTTCCATCGACAAGTTCATCTAAAATATCAACTATCAAAGTGATAGCCAACGTGCTTTCAAATTCCTGGGTAACCTCCAAAACAACAGAGAAAGACCCAAGAAAGAAACAATTAGTTTAAAAAACAAACTGCTTACCACCGACTCCGAAATAGTTAACTACTTTGCGAGGTTCTATTCCCACAAGCAAAGGAAAAACCCTTTTGTCAGAAAATCTTCAAGTGATTTAAAGCTACAAGAAAGACAGTTTGGTGAAATTAAGGAAGACACGACAACACCAAATAATGTACTTACTGAACCATTCAGATCTTACGAACTTAATGCTGCGATAAAACAGCTCAAATGCCAGAAATCTCCTGGCGAAGATGGTATTCATCCGGAATTTCTAATTAGAATGGGACCAAAAGCCAAGGAAATCATACTGACGCTTTTCAACAAAATCTGGGAGACCAGTCTCGTACCTAACCAATGGAAAGTTGCCATAGTAATACCAGTACTAAAAAAGGGCAAAGACCCTAGCAACTTTGACAACTATAGGCCTATCTCCCTCACAAGCGTGCTGGCTAAACTTATGGAAAGAATGGTTAACAGGAGGCTCACCTGGTTTCTTGTGACCAACAATATTCTTAGGAATGAACAAGCAAGTTTTAGGCCACAAAGATCAACTAACCAACAAGAAGCCAATTTCGCCCAACACATCAAAGATGCTCTTGATGCAAGAAATACCCTTACGGCTGTTTTCGTCGATTTCAAATCAGCATTTGAATTAGTATGGAAAGAGAAGCTAATTCTAAAATTGGCAAAGATTGGTATTAAGCATAACATGCTAAACTGGATAAAAGCATTCATTGGAAAAAGATCATGTAAAGTCAGACATGGAAATGCTCTATCAAAATCCAATCTTTTACAAACAGGCCTCCCACAGGGAGCTGTCACAAGCTGCACTCGTTTCAATGTCTTCATCAATGACATAGCCGAATTGGTACAGACAGTCACGGGCATCAAGTGCTTATTTTATGCAGGTGGTCTTGTTCTATGGTATTCCGCCCCCAAGAAAAACGCTCAGGAGAGGACAGAAAGTGCCTTAAATTGTGTACTTAAACTACTAACAAACTGGTGCGACAACAATGGAATGGTAATCAACACCGCGAAAACTGCATTCCAAACTTTTTCTTTGGCCCGTCACAACATAAACCCACTTCTAAGGTACAAGGATACTACCATAGAAAAAATCAATGAGTTCACATATCTCGGAATGTCTTTTAACACAAAGCTAACGTGGAAAGGCACATTGCTAAAATAGCAGAACGTGTCTCCAATAGACTGAATGTACTGAAGCCTCTTGCTGGTAGCGTATAGGGCTGTGCACACTCAACTCTCAATACCACTTACAAGATGTTTATTCAGCCAATAATGTTGTATTGCTGTGAGCCACTCATTACAGCCACAGCTGTGACTCTTAAACCACTCGAGAAGGCACAAAACCAAGCATTACGACCAATTACTGGAGGGATAAAATCAACACCCATTGATGCAATGCTCCTAGTTACAGGAAGCACCACAATATGTTCCCTTATCAATAAAAATGCCTTGATCTTGTACGAAAAGCTACTGCGCATTCCCATGGATAAGTTCTTCAGCACCTATGAGAATAGACCAAGACATCTGAAAACGCAATCTGGTCTAATACAGTAAGCCATAAAACTGAAGAAAGAATAACAAATCGATGACAAACCAAAAAGCCTCTCTCTCTCCCCATGAACCCATTAGCAGACATTGATGTAGTGTGTTGCACCCAACTGCTCGACTTCTTCAGGAAATCAAACACTCCTCCCGAGCAAATGCGCTCACTGGCCCTTGAGACAATCAATGCCTACTATCCTGGAGATCAATGGTTCCAAGTCTTCACTGATGGGTCATACATAGAAAACCAAGCAAACGTTGGTGCAGGTGTCTATTCTGAACTCTTCTCTTTCTACGCAGCAGCGGGACATAATAGATCCGCTTTCGAACTAGAAATAGAGACCATTAGGATAGCACTATGCCAATTATGTTGCCTAGATACGAAATTCACCAAATTGGTGATACTTTCGGACTCACGGTCAGCAATAAACTCAATTGGAAACAGAGAGCCACTCAAAACAGCTGAGATAGACGAATGTATTAAACTCTATGAGCTGCTGAGAGAGAAAAACAAAACAGTGGTCCTACAATGGATTCCTGGTCACTGTGGTATTAAAGACAATGAGCTTGCTGACACACTTGCTAAGAAGGGGACAACAATTTTGCAATGCATAGACCGGCTAATGTCTTTCCACACAATGAAGGCCTTAATCAGAAAAGCATTCAAGACCTCAAGGTGCAACGAACTTAAAGCTCGAACAAAGGAGAAACAGTGGACAGTGGCACTCTCCGACATACCCGACTGGCCAAGAATCGAAGCCGTTGCTGAGTTCAGACTACGTACCGGACACGATTGCTTGGCAAAACATCTTCACAGATTGGGAGTATATACTCAACCCACATGCCCTCTATGTAACTTACAGGAGGAAATACAGAAGACCCACCTGATTCGGAGTCCAGCCCTAAAGACAACGACGGAAATCCAGAGATATTGGGAAGCAAGAAGACGGCTAATGAACTGCTATTAGTTAACTGCTATAAATTTACCCATCACCCTTGGGGGAAGCTGAAGTCAAAGTTTAAGGGCTAGTGATAAATATCACAAAGCCTGCCATTTGAAATAATAATAATATCTCAATGGGACAGTGGGTAAGACGGTGGGCCAGGAAGGCACTCTCTTCCTTCGGTTTAATCTTTAATTACCTACTCACTGATGTGGAATATAAGATTTGTTCTTATGAGATTTGTAAGAAAAACTGGTTTATTTTTTAATTTTGGCGTTGGATTTTAATTTACTTGGGAACATTACTTTTTCCTATTGTTGTTGTATTTTCATATTTCCTGATGATTTGTGGCCCTTGGCCTACCTAAAGCATGAAATTGATCATTATTTATTGCAACTTAACTCTAAATTACATTGCAATAATTTTGTGACGTACCTCCGTACTGATGACATACTTTATGGCTCCGGGCTGTTTCGGCAATTTTTCAAGCAACTCCTACAATTAGTAAAAGGTAGCCTTTTGTTATTTCAAACTTGCAGGTCAGTTAAATATGTGAGAGATACATTATATAATTATCATTAACTATGTCCCAAATCACGAAAAAAATATGGATTTTCGTTCAATGGTCAATTTTGATGATACTCAAGCACAAATTTTGTATCTGTTGGTAACGCCTTGAAAATCATCAAGCCAAATTTTAAAATATGCCATGTCATCGACGCTATTGGAAATTGGAGCTTTATCATTTCGAATCTACGTAACTCTGCCCACAGTTAGGTTCATCTATTTCAAAATTTGATTTCGTGAAATTATTGGGACTATTCAGTTGAAGCTAAGCGTTCAAAGTGAGTAGTAATTTAGAAAAAAGCGCATTTCGAATTTTGACACAGATGATGCGTAAGGTAAAATATTGATGACTTGAAGTGCACAAGCAATTAACGTTAGCGATGTAATCATCAAAGTTCTCGCATGCGAATAAGGCAATGGAATCTATGCTTGATTACAAGAGGAGGAATCTTGTAATGGGTGCGATATATAGAACATTATACGAGTTTAGCATTAAAAAAAACCAAGGATCAGTCGAAAGGCTACAAATTACAAGCGAATCAGCTAGTGTCATCTAAACGTAAAGTGGCAAGTTGGAACGCTTGACTGAATTGGCTAATAAAAATGAATCGCTCTAGTGATCGATCTCACCACATTATGCAGTGTGCCCAAGTAAAAAAAGACGTGTTAAAACGAGTTGAGTTTTGTAGAACAGAGCATGTTGAGCACTTTCAATACTCCACTCTGAACACCATTAAAGGTTCAATATGGGGTTATTTGTAATATTCTCTACTTTCTTTTTTTTAAACTAAAGTTGTAATGTGAATTCACACGAGATCTCTTTTGCTTTGTACAAGCGGTACTTTTACTGATGCTCCTCCCTCGTCTTTTGAGGTCTGAGCTGAAATCCTCAAGCTGTATTTAGAAGAGTTATTTCTACTATCAATCGCATTGTGTACCATTTAAGCTCTTCAAATGAACATCATTGGAAATTCTCGGTGTCGTTTAACGAATTAAATATAGAGTACATAGTTAAGAATGGCTGTTTCTCACCTTGTAATTCATTAGATCTATTTTCTCAGAGTAGGAAATCCCACGAACTTCAATGTGTCCATTTTCTGGCACCTCCATTCGCTGTTTTTTGACCTCCAATTCATTATCACCTTCAGGACTATATGAGGAATTTCCAAAGCATTTCGAGAGAAGGGCCAGTACAACTGATGCATCATTGGCTGTAGTTAATATGAAGGCATTCGGTCCAGCGTCAAATGTATAGGCTGCCTGAAGAAATGTATATACATACATATATTTATTTATGTATCTAATTCTTACTACATCGAATAGGTGATAAACATGTAACAAATTGAAATGAAGAGATATGGAGTGTTTTCGAGACTTATGTGTAATTCGATATCAGGTCTTCGCGCTTGGGTTTACAAATGAAGCATTCCCACTGCTATGTTACTCTCTAAGTCCAAACAATACCCTTCCTCCAATTTTTATATAAACACCTATCCTTTCTTACTAAATTAAGAGAGCAGGTCATTAGTGCTACGGATCTTTCACTCGTCCGCCCAAACTACGTCGTGGCATACGTTTAGAGCTTTCTACCACCAACTTAGATGGACACCTGGGATAGCTAGAAATCTTCAATCTAGGGCCGCTGAATTACAAATCCCTATGTAACTGAGGTTTTGAAACTAGAATGAAATTGATGATGCCTATCAGTCAATGGAGAAATAAACTGCATTGCGTCACTTAACAATCGGCTCAATATCAAAGGGGAAGGAGGGTGTTGTTCAGGACATCATATGCTATTTTAACATTCACAGGTAGTAAGAGAAGGTCTAGTTTTTAACTATGTTGGCGTTATCGGTTTTTTGCTCATCTCAAAAGCTTACATCGCATTTCCTTCATGGATTTAATTTAGCCAGTGGAGAATTTAAGATTCACCTTTATATTAAACCATAACGCTGCATGAGGAATTCGAGTAAACACTGAGTTACTACACTTTAATAATCACTTTAAATTTTGAGGGAGTTAAAAAGTTGTAAATCAAGTGCACTCGACTAACGCGAACCTTTATCATAATGGAAAGATTCCAAGTTCCAAAATTTATGTCTCAGAGCGAATTACCTCAATTGATTGAGTTAATATAAGCCATTTTAAAATTTACCAAACTACCGATAAGAATACACGCATGTTTCCCTTTCTACAATTTTTAGAAGAGATAAAAAACAAGCCTTTAGTTCAATAGCTGAACACAACAAAGTGCCATAAACACATTTGTCCATCTACTGAATTTTGACTGCATTGATATCACTGAAAAAAATGGTACAAATCTATGGCTTCTGTAATGAATCATACATGTTTAATCACACAGATCGTCAGCAACTTTAGCTTGAGTTGCTATTTTAACTATTTGAAACCCAGGACGAAGAGAAAGAGCAAGCCTTTATTGGAGCTCCCTATAAAACGATATAAAACATAGTTAGAGGTAAGAAGAAAGCCCAAAGCCTTGACAAATGGCATAAAGAATACAATAGTGATAGAATGATCAAATACAATGCTAAATGAATAGTAGACAAATCGTAAAACATTAGCCCGTAAACAAAGTAGAGAGCACTCCCAATTTATGGTTTTATTCTTAATATAACTAGTTGCACATCCGATCACTAACTTAGGGCAACAACCCCACGATGTCTTGAGAAAAAAAACAAGGAAAATGAATTCATTTACAATATGCCACACGTACGCGTAGCAAATGTGTCCTAAGACAATTCGTAAAATAGGGTCTATTTCTGTAATATTATTGGTTCTCATTAACTGAAGAGATATACTCCTACATAAACAGATAATGACCTCAACGGATACCAACTAATAAATGACCATGCATTTAGACTTAGCGAACTGATTGAAATCAGTCTTGACAGTGGAGCTTGCCCATCAAAAATCATCCAATATACTATTCTTCCAACTGAAAGGAGTTTTCTTTGAAGAAACGAGTATCCAGTCAGCTTGATCATTATAAAAGTAGGCAACAACTATATAAAAGAATAGCCTACCATATTCCTACCCGCGTTACTATTCAAAGTGTGTACGAATTCCATAATGGCGAAGGATGTGGCATTGAGATAGACCACTGGAGGATAAGAATCCAGACAAACAGCATGGAGTTCATTGCTCTCACGCATAGTTAACTCAGCTAGCAATTCGAAATCACGACACTGAAAGGCGCGAATAAATTGTGGAACACGCTCCTTAACCACCTTGCCACGGGCTTCTTGAAAGAGAGAACTTGTGACCGTCGTTCGACGCATTGCGATACTTGACGACACAGGCTTCTGTTGTGACGACGTCTAAAAGGATAAAAGTAAGTTGAAGTATATACCAAATGATTAGCTCTAATGCACGACAATCGCCGATTTGACCCAACTCCAACTGTAGCCACGCGTTCTCCTTGATAGACTGCATCGCTTGCCAGCTATTACTCATCCTCATCTCGTTCTACATTCATCTTCGTAAGTTAGACGTATATAACCTTCCTTTACTCTTTTAGTAAAAACATGAATAATACTTGATTCGGATGTAAAGACACAATTTGACCCATGATTATTTACTGGTTATCTTATCTTTATTTGCCATAACTTTGCAGGCATCAACCAGCTGTTACCCACTCTAAAATGATTTCAAATACTTACTCCCCATTCCTTCTTCTTCTGAATACAGTCCTGGGGTCCACGTAAGAGTAGTGGACTTATAATTTTTGAAAATTGAATGTATTCTTATAGACCGTGATACTTATTTTTAGAAAGAGGATTACTTATAGTTTTCCACCAGCATGGCAATTTCAGGTATTAGGTATTAAAGAAAAATTATGATCACCAAGATGGGCAACAATTTTAATTTCTAGACATGGTACAATGATACTAGTGAAAATTATCATGAAAACTTACAACGCATATTAGAATTCGAAGATCGGACCAGTGATCGTGTTGAAAGAGTTGTTCTACGCAAGGCGAGTTGAGTTTTGACTCTGAAGTTGGAGCCTTCCAGTGAACAATACCCCCGAGCATACTTCGACATGCCGAACCAGAGCCGCGCCTATAGGTAGAAGAGAAATCGAAAACTAGCAAATCAAGGCACTTAGTAAATAATTCGAAAAATGTACAATAGGAGCCACGACGAATAAACGGCGCCAAGATAAAGCTCTATTTTTTCAAACAGTCATTAACGAACTTAACTTCAAAGTCTAAGATGGGTCATTATATTGGTTTACAACTCGTATGAAACAAAAGCAATTTCGTACAAATTTGGCAAAAGGAATAGATGTTTGGAAAGCTGGAAATTATCAAAAAACAATAAATTGAATAATACGCCTTAGTTGAACAGATTTAATAACTGAAATGCATTTAAACCTATATTCTTTGACGAGGCTGTTCTATTTTCATCACTTTTACACAATTGTGCAGCAAACTAGGTTGTTAGAAATAGCAATTTAACGATAGTCACATCGGTTGGAACGCAAAGTCGGCTACTTTCTACCTAGCGTTTACCAATGAGCAAAGATCATTTCTTGCAAATCACCTCGAACAGTTAGGAAAACTAGATATGAAAGCAAAGATAAAAAGGAAGACACCTTGCAAGGGAAGCCGCATCAACATCAAGCTGATAGAGATTTGAAAGGGCAAATGCTGGAATAAAAATAACTGTGTCAATATCGTATGAAATACAAAGGGCCATCATTTTTAGAAATAGTAACCCATAGATGCAAATCCCGAAGCGGATGAGGCAAGACCAGCTGCAGTTGGAAAGTTATTGGTACTTTCAATACACAAATGTTTGAAGCTGTTAAACGTCCCCCTTTGCGCAGCGCGTAACTGAGAGATCTAAACCAGTAATATAAATGCCATAAACAAATTACAATTATAACATCCTTCATTCGATTAGTTAAGGGATGGGGTCTAAAAAGAAATAAATATACTTAAAAAAACTCACCTTCCGTTAAGACGGAATGTGTGACTATTATCGTCGACTAAAGAGACAGCAGTACAGCTATGCAACTAATCAAAATAGAGCTGATCATATTTCAATTACATGTTCACAACTCAGTGTCAAGCTAATAGAGTCCGTCACCGGGTGAATATTCAGTTCATCTGATTTCCCCCCTACACATAATAATAAATAAACAAATATCACAGACAATATTTGAGAAGAGCGATATTTATTGGTGCAATAACCTCAATCATTTAGAAAAAAACGTGACTACAACGACCTAGAGACAAGTTACGAACAGTTGTCCTTGGGAAAAAAATAAATAAATATTCTTCATTGAAACGCAATATTAAATCCTGACTTGAACAAATTTAAAAAATCTGATTCTATATTTGATACACATTCTAATATACATATATTTGGCATTCACTTTTAAGGCTTTAAATCGCTGAAGTCGTGACCGCATCTTTTGAAATTGCTAGTGAACTCGCTGCGTGGTTTGTCATTATGAGGGACGACGGTGTAACGAAGCATCAGTTACGATTTAGAAAGCAGAGGGATAGGAAGGAAAGAGCTAAGGAGAAGAGACAGCGCCAACGAGAACAAAAAAAAAGTGGAACTATCGCTGGATTTCCTCAAACATTAGAATCTCTTCGCGTTCCTGACGAAACTATTCTCCCTAAGGACGATCCAGACCTTCAATGCGAAGCAGATAATGTAGATATCAATTCGTTTTTCACTTGATTTACTTTATTTAGGATGAATTTTCTCGGATTTACAATAATGAAGTTGAACCTAAAATTCTCCTAACTCATTCAGATCGTGTTTCTCCACGTACGATTGGATTTTGCAAGGAATTATCACGTGTAAGATTTTCTGTCTATTAACTTATTGTTGCATATTACGTTTTAATTCATTTATCTTCATTTTAATTTAGGTGATTCCTAACCTGACACTAGCTCCCAGATGGCATCAACCTCTTAAAAAGCTCATTCCCAAAGCGATTGAACATGGATATACCGCTCTACTGGTTGTAAATGAGGATGCGAAAAAGCTAAACACGCTAATTGTTAGTCATCTTCCCCATGGCCCTACGGCCACTTTTCGTTTAACCAATGTCACTCCCAGACGTAAACTTCGTGGTCTAAGAAATCGTGGTATCGAAGAGGGTGTCGTACCTCATCTCATTCTCAATCGATTCATGACAACTCTTGGTCGCCGCGTAGAACGAATTATCGGTGCTCTCTTTCCCTCGGCTTCTAGAGGTCCACCTCAACCCCATTGTCGTACTGTTGTGTTCCATAATCAACGAGACTTCATCTTTTTTCGTCACTACAGATATATTCATAAAAAGAATGAAGAAAGTGCCTTCGATGAGGACGATTCCGAATCCGGGTGTCCTAAGGGACCCACTGATCGTGTCGCTGTAAATGAAGTCGGCCCCAGATTCACACTTAAGCTAAAATCTATCCAGAAAGGTACATTTGATAGCCAGTTTGGTGATTATGAATGGGTGAAAAAAGGATCCGTTTTGGGAAACTCACGAAGAACCTTTGTTTTGTAACTTTGTATATATTACATTTTTAAATAAGAATCAACTGTTATTGATTTAAATAAGTCTGATTTGTCTTGAATATAATATTTATTTGGTTGTGCCGGTTGAATTATCGTTAATAAAAGACCCTTATTCCAAGCCATGGTTTCGTCGCATATGTCTATCGAAGTCCCTTCTTCTAACACAGATTTTGTCGCAAATTTTGCAAACGTAGGGGTTTTTGAGACCTGTTTTGCTCTCCATATTCCCTCCTATTCCGTGAGTTCGAAGATGTTTGTTTAGATTGGACGGGTCTGCAAATTTCCTGTCGCATTTCATACATTTGAGTGGCTTTAGACCAGTGTGGATTCGTTCGTGTATGGTTAAACTATATCGGCGTGCGTAATATCGTCCACAGTATGAGCAGGTATTTTTCCTTTTTCTTTCTACGCAGGATTCCGAATGCAATAGAAGGTGCGATTTGAGGCAGTTTGGTTGAGTAAATTCCATTCCGCATTGCAGACAGGAGTAGCATGTTGGACCTTAAGAGGGAATCGCGTTTAAATAACATTACTAACTACACTAAGTAGTATGTATACCAAATTATTACTTTTTATGTTTTGAGGTATTAGGAATGGTAGTCCAATTGAGAGACCAAATAGGATATCAGGCCACGCTAATAGTTCACTGCCGAAATAAATATCTCTAAGGCAAACAAGGCGCAATTTTTTGACGCTTATAGGCTGATGGCCATGACGCTTACACTTCGACACTAAGTTTGTATCGCTTTCTGCTGCTTGAAAGCAATCGATTTCCGGTAAGATAACGATATTTTGTTCCATCCAGTTCTTTGCTGGGCGAATTTCGTTCATCCATTGGTCTAAATACTTTTGATTTGTTGGGTATTCTGGATCAAGAGCCTTCATTCCACTAAGCGGGTCTAAAATCTTTAAGGTAAAACAATTTAAGGCCCACTAAGTGGATGATTAAACAGAATGTATTACTTATATAAGGCTAAAACATCTGTATACAAGTTACAAAATAAGCTAATTGCATAAAGATGCAAGACAAGATGTTGCCTACTGTGAGACAAAACGAATGTATATATTATAGCATTCGTGTCAAAGTATAATCTTTCTATTTCTGTACAATCAGCTCTTTGGAAATTAACCTTTGCCTCATGAAACTTTGCCGATTGAGAGCCTTTTTAAGACAATTTTATAGAAGAATTTTGAGACAACAAATTTATTTCATTTTTTGCATTCTTAAATTGTCCTATTTAAAGCAAAATTCTCTTAAAAGTGAATAAGGGGTAGTTACAATAGGAACAGAGTAGCTTCCCAATGTCCCATCTCTGAGCTCTTTGCTTCTAAAAAATGAGGCTTTACTGAATGTCATGAAACGTCAGATTTGATCACTCCCCCCCC